AATGTTGTCCATGGGGTCGCGATGGGCCGGCGACTTACAGCAACAACAGATGTGCATGATCAGTTGATGGGGTGCAAACTGTTTGGTGTGCAGATTGGTATCTACAAACAATAATTGCAGCAGAGCTTGTAATTATATTGCCTGCTGCACTCTGCACTGCCAGATTGTGCTTCTGCAAGTTTGGATCAGTGCATTGCTGCGCTTTGTGTTTTAAAGGGCCAACTCTAGCAGCTAGCATTTTGGTACTCCTTGTCATGTTTTTAGCCACTTTCCTTTGGGAATTAATATTTCTTGACTGTGTAAGCTTGCAATGAAAGCTTACATCCTGCAGTTTAAAGAAGCATATTCAAGATGGAGCCCTTTAAGATAAGAGGTTGTTTTATAGACATGGAAGAGATGGTTAAAGTGTCTGTCTGTCTGTCTGGAAACTTGAAAGCTTGTATCACACATCAGTCCAGTACATAATTATTTTTGCTCTGTATTATCTAGCTATCACGGTTAAAAAGACACTGATCTGATGTCATTTCATTTTCAAATTCTGTCTGTCTGTCTGTCTGTCTGTCTGTCTGTCTGTCTTGCCACTGCCACCTTCTCCTCCTCCTCTTCTTGTCTTCTTTCCCTAGTTTTGGGTATTGAAATAGTAGGTTATGGCAGAAATGAAAATGAGGGTGTTTTTGTGGTAAGCTTTGCTTCTGGGGTTTTTTACTGAATTATTTGGGTAAGAGGCCAGGAAATGAACTATAAGCACACTCAGACTTTCCCTGAGAATTAGGTAACGTTAATGTGTAGGGTGCTGCTTTTGACAACTGAATTTTGCAGAAACCTTTTTATTCAACTAGATTTTATGCGGTAATATGTACACATGTACAGAATGTTAATACATGTACACTTGTGCATGAATGTGTACATACATGCACACATGCATGCAAATATCCTGAGTTCTGGGTGGAAAATAATTTGTTAAACATGGTAGCCTTTGATACCCCAGCAAAACAGCTTTGGTACATGGTACCTTTTGCTGTTCATCTTTCATCCATTTCCTGTAACCCTGATTTTGGCTTCAACCTCTGTGTTCACCCCACCCCCTGCCTTCACTGCTCAAGTCATTGAAGCTGAGTGACTGAAACAGCTGCAAACCTTTCCTTGCTGCTAGTTTTTTTGGCACCACAGAGTACAAGAAGCTGTTACCCAGAACTACAGAGGAATCCAGATGGATGGGAATGTTGCACTGAGACCAAAGGATTCTGTAACAGTATTGAGGACCAGAACAACGGGTTAAACATTCTGTCTTAGCCTTAATTCTGTATGTCCTTTCTAACAAGGCACACATTTGAGTTCTTTAACCTCTAGGCCCATCTAAGGAGAGAAACAGTGTTCCTTAAACAGCAGAATTTGTGCATGGAAGAGTGCTTTGCTAAAAATTATAAGAGCAAAGGACCGTGTGGTGCAGTCTTGATAATAACTCACTTCCCAAAGTGTTTCAGTTTGGCCAAGTTATTGAAGACTACTTTACAACAGTCATGAGTAGGTACTACCTTGAGTTTCACAGTCTTCTGGCAGCATTACGCTGTTTCCTAGTTAAGGAAGACTGATGCCTGCACCAACCTTGAAGAGAGAAGCAGGGATAGGTGTGAGTCCTCACTTTAGAAACCCAGAATCGAAGCCACTCCTGAAAGCCTTTGGAACACATGCAGAGCAACAATGGGTGAGATTGACTGGGGAGTGGTTGCTTTCAAAGGAGATTCAGCAGCAGTCCATGCCTTTGTAAGGAGCACACTAACACCCTCTAGAATTTGTTACCCCAAAGGAGCATTGAATGTGGAATGACCAGTGGCTGTAAGGAAAGTACATCTCCTTAAGTGCTCCCACTGATGGCTGTGGACTGAATGTGGGAGGCCGAATGGGAAATATTGACTTGCACAAGTTGTTGCCTGAATGGCAGTGTGTGTATTTGAAATGGTAGTGTTGTTCTGACTTGTGAAGTCAAGGATGCTGCTAGCAGCTCTGAGAACTGTACCTCTTCGGAAAAAAATCTTGATTTTTTTCCCCCCAATTTGCCTGGACATGTTCTTTAAAGCCTACTGAAACCAGCCAAATCCTTCTTTTCTGGCATTCTCTTCGCAGACAAGATAAACCCGACAGCTGAGTGAACAATAAAGGCTCTGAGGCAACATGTTGAGTGAAAGCAGCCTTCCTTGGATCATGTGCATGGAGGCCATGGGGGAGGGAGTGCACTTATATAGTTTAGGACAGACTTCTGGGGTGTAAAGGACCTTCGATTTTGAAGCTAGAATAGACCTTTGCCAGTGTGATCTTCAAGAGCTGCAGCTTCCCCCAACTTGTGCCCTCCAGATGGGGGGCTATGCTGACTGGGGTCAAAGGTCAGCATAGCCATGTCCCAACTCATGCAGAGGGCACAAAGTTGGGATTTTTGTAAGTGCTTGATTAGATTCTTGACCTTGAATAAAGAAACACTTTCCAAGGTACCTCAGAAGTTCTGAGGGAGCAGGGAGGAGAAACAGCAAGCTTTTTAATTATGTTCATTTTTCCATGTGCCCCAAACCCAAAAAGTAAAATTTTAAAATCCTTTCCCACAGTTCTGTTGTAGGAATATCCCACCAAAACATGGAAGCTAAAGTGGTGCTATGCGTCACATATTGGCTTGGTCCGTGGCCACCAAAATCAGTGGCCTGTAACATTGGACGAGGAGTGTGTGTACACTGTGTTATGAGGAAATGGCCACAAAACCTGGCCCCTTCCATAGGCATTTCTGACAAACTGGGTCGGGGTTGCCACTCCCTGCTGCTGCCGCCATCTTGTTTTTGGTTCACCCCTTTACTGTTGAAAGTGAGTGAGCTCATTCTTTTTTGGGACAATTATGTGGTGAGGACAAAATGGTCACCTCCAACAATGACCTCAAGGTATAATATGTGTGCTCTGTATGTCTCTCTGCCATGTGGATTTAGCCACAATGATTGGCATTTTGCTAGCAAACTGACAGCTGTCCTAACAGCCCGAGTCACCTACTGGCAAGTAAGGAAAGAGTGTAGTGATGGTTATACTGCCAACCTGATATCTACAATGGGGAGATGCGGGGCTCATGAGTGTGTATACTTGTTGCCTTGCTTAGCCACCAAAACAATATAGTAGGAAGCAGATTTGTGGCATGTATTCGGGCAGAGAAAGATCTAGAATTAACTTTCTCAAGTGTGGGCAACTGTGTTGGGCCTTTGTGAGTCATAATCGCATGCTCTAACATTTGCTAACAAACCTTCCTAAAGGGAATGTGGCAAACTTGCCAGGGAGCTACTACAAGTAGGCCAGCGGAAGGATAGATGATTGTCATTCTGACGGTTTGTTGAGACAGGTATTTGCAGAATCTTGAGGTACGCTGCTGATGCTGTTTAGTTTGCCTAAAGTAAATCATTATTTTAGTTGAGTTTGTTAATTCTCCGTGTATGTTATATTTCTTATAACCTTACTGATTAGCTTGATGTTATTTCTAACTATCCAGGACAGCCCTTTTGGCATTGGGACAGGATGGAACATTTAAATATGACTTAATTAGTGCTTAACTTTAAAAGAAACATCAGCAGAGAATGCAGTGCTCTGTAGGGCTTTTTGGAAGGTAACTTTTTGCCTGTCTTTCCTCCCCACATGCTGAAATTTCTGAAAAGATTTGTCTCTAATTCAGGCTTTCCAAGCTTTGGTGACCTCTGAATTCCAGAGGTGCAGTACAGTGGCTGATTTCTTTAGCCTCCCATGAATTGAGTCAGTTGTAAAGTCATAAAGTCAATGAAAAATATTTTGGGAATTAGAGGCTTGCACTCTGCTGATACAAAATGGATATACCAAGTACCAGGCACTGACATTTCTCAATCCTTTGGCTTAGGTCATCAAGTTTTTTTTTCCATCATACTGTCCAAAGCAGAAAAGGGTTTTCTGTTGCTGTTAGACATTTGTAGAGTAATGAAAGTCCATGAAACTCAGAAGTTCTATTCAATTTAGTAGGATTAACTTCTGCAAGTGTCAGACAGCAGCCCTTGTTTGCATAGTATAAGATCTTTACAGTGTAACTTTTCAGCACCACCACCATCATCAAGGCTACTGAACCAGAGTGGGTCAGGCAACCACCTTGCGGGCCCATATTGGAAGACTATTTCCCTTTTTCATTTAAAACGGTTTCTAGCTGTCTTAGCTGTGTTTGAAGACAAAAGTGACTCACTTGTTAAAACGGGTGCTCAGTTATTTGACTCCCTTTGTTGGGGCCAAAATCACATGTATCCTCTCCTTTCTCTACTACTTCTCTACTACTCGTGCTGGGAAAACAGGATCTTGAAAGCAGCATCACTGGTTGTTGGAAAATGCATTTTGCAATGAGAAGAATCCGGTGTTGGCATAGATCATCTGGAGAACCTGAATCTAAGAGGGCATGCCTGCAGCCCATGGACTGTGGTTTGTGGGTTGTGCAGCACTGTGCTAAAGCATAAAGCAAATTGAAACAGGGGCCAGCTATAAACAGTCAACCTGAGGTTTAAGTCTATGTATTCCATTTTGAGATTAACAGTTGCATATTCAAGTACATGTCTGCTGACTGACTGACTGAATTGGTATCTACTGTGTTTGTGAAAGTGCAGTTCAGATTCTGATGACTACAAGTAAATTATCTCTAAGTATGCTGCTCATGGTATGTTTCTTAAATGACTGTTGGGCCAGAATGAGTGTGCATTCTCCCCTTCAGATCTGTGTCAGATCTATGTATTTGCCTGGATTTTCACTAGTTCAGTTTTGCACATCTGTATTCTGCCACTTCTCAAAGAAGTCCATGTGCATGTCCCCCTAATTTCCTCACCACAACCCTTTGAGGGAGATTAGCCTTGAGAGATGTGACTGGCTCAAAGTCACCCAACAATGAATGATAGTAGACATTTAACAAACTTCTAGGGTACATAGATAGTGAAAAGTTTTAACTTGTTCTTACTTCTCTCCTCCCATTCTAGGTGTTTTTATACTGGTCCTCCATCTGTGCTGACACAGGAGTGACTCTTCTGGCCATCACCTGTCATCAGGGCCTCATTTGCACCAGGATCTTGGAAGAAAGAGGAAATTCACAATTGTAAAGGTCAGTTCAGATCAGCACAGTTTTTCATCCCACCATCTCTCCTGCATCTGTCTGACTTTCCTACACCTGTCCTCTTTCCTTTGTGATCAACAGCATGTGAAGTGAGTGCAGGTTGCGGAATACCCACTGGCTAGTTACCTGTATTAAGAGTTTGCTTTGACTGAGCAGGCAGGACTTCTTTTGTATATTGGAAACAATGCGGTTCAAATGGTAAAAGCTGGTGGGTGGACTAGAAGGGATTTGTGACTTGTAACTTTCATGGATGGAGCCATAAAACAGAGTGAGCAGGCAAGAATGTTCTTTTGCTTACACACACTCTGCACAGATCTTCACCCCTGCAGCCCAACTCTTTAACAAAGGGAAGGGAATATGCTAGCAATATTTATTCTTGTTAGCTATATCTGTTCTCTTCAGGTGGATTTCTTTCCCTGCCCTCAGGAAACCACCAAGCAATTGATGGCTGCAGGGAAGGGCCAGTAGAAAAGGAAGTGGCCTCCAGACCTGATGTTCTGTAGTTTGGCCAGGTGGGCTGGTGGGCTCTGGCTAATGATTTACATGAAACTTGCTCATGAAATACTTTCTTCTACAAAAGAGCAACATTGTTTACCCAGATGAGATGTTTGGTGTTGCACTTGACATTTTCTGGGAAGATTTTCTCTTGAACTGTGTTTTTTTTAAAAAAGGAAGAAGTTGGGATAGAGGAAGAAGAGAAAAGCCTAAGCAGTAGGGCAGATGCTATGGCGATCTGCCCTAAGATTTTTGCCACCTAGCCTGATGAACAATTCGGCAGAACTCAAAACTGCACAATCATTTATAGTGTTTGGGATGATCTGAATAAAAATATTGCCCAACTGTGCGCGCGCGCGCGCGCGCGCGCGCGCTCGCTCTCTCTCTCTCTCTCTCTCTCTCTCTCTCTCTCTCTCTCTCTCTCTCTCTCTTTCTTCTGTCCCTTCCTCAGAGTAATTGCTCCTTAAAAATGTGATCCATACTGGTTTTGTTGTTGCCTCAACAACAAACCCACTGAAAGTGTTAAATCTCCTTTTCCCTGGCCTAATTAGTGTAGGGCTTTTAACACCATGGCTTGATAAAGGGGGTGGAAGAGAGTTAAATAACAATGACTTGCTTTGTTCTGTAACCCTCAGGTGGTTTTTGGCTCAGCCTCAGTGCAGCCCTTGGTGTTTTTCTCCCTACCTGTTCCAAAGAGGAAGATTATGCATAGGGTGGCTGAACAAATGTCTGTTCACAGCAATTCTGTTAGAGACATGCAGCTGGTCTTTTTATTTTTTTCTGCAGGAGTCTCTTAAAACTGGCAGCATCCTGCACTGTAGAAGGAAACAGAACATGGCATTTTCCTTTTTATTATTTATGGAGAAAAATACCATGTTTGCAACGTAAGCAAAGGACAAGATTGCTGGGGCAGTTCTAAATACACTTACCTGGAAGTAAGTCCCGTTAAACTCAGTGTGACTACTGAGTAGGCATAGGTAGGATTGCACAATTAGTGGATAGTAATTGTATTGCTTTTAAAGATCCCAAACAAGGAAATAGGTTTAGCAAATGTCTTCCTGTTGAGACTGCATGGGAAGTAACAAGCATTTGCTTCATTTCTTTTTTGTGTTAGTTTTCTTTAAGCTTCTCTATCATATCTTTGGATTTTTTTTGACTTTGGCTGACTGCTGTGGTATCACTTTAGGGCTGGCCTTTGTCAAAAGGCAGTTCCTTTTGCTGCCTGTAGCTTCTAATAGCCTGTTTATGTCTGCAGTCAGTCTTTAATTCTACTGCTATTGTCTGCCTTTTCCTTAAAGCATTTTCCTTCCCCAGCTTGGTGCCCTCTGGATGATTTAGACTACAGTTCCCATCATCTGTGACCCTTGGTCTTGCTGGCTTCAGTTGGAGCTAAAGTCCATACTATCTGCTGGGCCCCAGTTTGGAAAAGGCTGTTGTAAAGTACCAGGGTTAAAATGGAATATTCCTGTGAAATGTAACTTGCGAAAATGCTTCTTTTCCACCCTTCATCTAAGCGGGTCCATTTTTCAACAGGACAACTGGCTGTTCTCTGTGTAGCTTTCAACAGAGGTACATGGATGTCCCGGGAACTGTCTCCTTGAGGACAAAGCTTTTCATGACAACATGGCTTAAAACATAGCATTGTTTTCAGCGGCAGAAGAAGTTGCTGATGGTGTGAAACTGAACTGTAAACCTCCATGCAGATGATCCCAAACCCTGCAGTTATGTTTTCTGTACGCCATCTTTCCAGATGAGACTGCTGCTTTATACTATTTAAAAATAGCATAGCATAGCAGTATTATCAAATACTGTTTTGACTTTTACACAAGATTGTGCTTATAAAAACTGGTAGGCAACACCTGCACACGTATTTATTGACCATCTTTGTGCCTCGTCCCCCTCCCCACACCTTCCTGCCAATCTGGAGTACAGAAAGGTGCACGTTACGGAAAGATGTTACTGAGGTCCATGAGGCACCTTACTTTGGCCTTGATGTCAGGGTGGCACAAAGGTTTGCAGAAGATCCAGACAAGGAGCCTTCTAGGCCTTGACATCCCACCTTTGTGGGCCTTTATATGTATACCAGCCACTGGCAGACATTCTTTTTTCTTCAGTTTGTTTATTTAACCACAGTAGTAGGCCACAGTGCTTCAATTTTCTCTGTTTCCAGGACCAGCCCATGGTATTTTTCAGCTCACAACAAAGGATAAATGCAGTTTCCCTATGTCAAGTACAGAAAGCAGCTGGACTGACAGTTGAATATTATTTCAACACCGGTGAAAGAATTATGTCCTCCACCACATTTAGGGAAGCAAGCTAGTGCAGGGGGCCCAGGATAGCTTATATAGCATATATAGCTCTGTCCGCAAACAGAGGGGAAGAGCTAGTTGTGGGTATTAGCATGTTAAAAATTCTGGGGAGGCACCAAAAAGTGGAGAATGGTACTTCTGGTTTCCAGACTTTAAAAAAGTAAGAGTTTTAATTCTTGTTAAAAAAATTAGGGGGGCTAGGTTCCCAAGCCTAGGAACTGAAAAGCTGCCACTACTGCGTCTCAGGATCTGCTTCCTTAGACGGTTGCTTCAGCCTACCTAATGGTAGGACTTGCCATGGCTATTCATTAAGAAGAATTATGATGACGATATTCTTTCTTTAAAGAATGGGCTGCAAGACACTTGTGCTTTAGGCTCCCTCTGTCCTCTGGACTGCCATGTACCCAAGCATTTTTGATATCAGGACCGTTGTGTGTGTGAGTGTGTCTGGAAAGTGATGGAATCAACTAACGTCATGTAATTGGAAAGGACCTGGGAGATATGTAGTCTAAGGGTTGGGAACCTCTTTTCCCTCCAATGGCTGAATTTCAGTTACATAAAAGCTCTTGGGCTGGATTCCCATGTTGGGTGGAACTCAGGGGCTAAAGGGGCAGGACCAAAGTAGAAAAACTACTTGTCATATTGTGGCTTAAAGCTGGGACTTCCAATAACAATCTTTGAGAGAAGCATTTCAGCCTTTCAGAGCCAGGAAAGAAGCTGTATGAAAGCCAGAAAACAATTACTGGTCTTTGTAGAAAAGGGATGAGGCTGGGGAAGGGTGTGCGGCTGTCTGTGACTATCAGGAGGCTGGATTTGGCCACTGGGCCTCAGGTTCCCCAGCTTCTGTCTAGTCCAGTCCCATCTTCAATGCAGGCTCTGCAGTGCAGACTCTGTTGGGAAGGGAGGTTCTCATACACTGTTGAAGCATTTAAATTTTCATTTCTGATAAAATGAATTGATGGTTATAATTCTTAAACTGTTAGTGTTTTCTTGCTTCATTATTGGAGATATCTCAGGTTGCCCCAAGATAATTTGTTGTGATACACTGCTCTTCCACAAGTGTGTGTAAGCTGTATGAAGCTGTCCAATATTTTAAAATTATCAAGCTGCAGCATTTCACTTAAAAGAGGGCCTGTTCAGCTTTCATTTTAATTTTTGATAATTGTATTAGTACTGCTGCAACATACCTCAGTCTTCTAACCTCCTCTCCCCACCCTATTTTTCTCTTCCTCCAGGGTTGATAGGTGCTGCTGCTGAGGTAAAGGCTTTAGGTCTGGATAGTGCTGGACTTCTCATACTAATACAACCAAGTAGCACAAGGAGGTGGGAATCTGGATGGACAGTGTCAAGGAAGGAAAATGAAGGTATTTGGCTCAGCTGGAATGCAAAATTTAAACCTAAGCTCTCCTCTTGATACTTAAGTTGTTGCTTGTTTTGTAAGTAATTACAAATAGTTGGACATGCAAACTACCAGGCAAAAAATGAGAACCCTTTAACCATTTCCCCCACTACATATATTATGGGTACAATTCTAAACACGGTTACATGGACCTCTCCCCAGAGTAACAATCATATGATTAAGCTGAAAGCATGTTTTCAGGTGATTGTATCTTTAACAACAACCACTTTTTAAAAATTGGATGACCCAAAGATATTTTTAATTGGGATTATTTTTGTTGCTGCTGCTCCTGCTGTTGCATTGGGCTTATATCTCACCTGTTTTCCTCTTATGAAAAACTGAAGGTAGGTTATGTAGTCCCATTTATCCTCACAACATTAATTTGTCTCTGCTTACAATTCCAGAGGATGAACTCGGAAGCATAAAGCTTAAAGTCGAAGGACAGCAGCATCAGGCTTCCTGAACTGTTCTGAAGGTGTTGATTTGCCCCCTTGTTGATATAATGATGGCCACTGCTGTAAGCTTGGGGAAGATCGCAGAAAATGGTCCTGCAGCACCGCAAAACATCAAATCCCCATCAAAACCTATTGCTCCTAATCGGATTGGCAGGAGAAACCAGGTAAAGCATGAAGCATTTCTTGGAGGAGTGCCGTTTTCACACAAGGCATTTTGAGGGCACCATGCCCCCCTCAAATAAATTGCATCAGAAATTGGTGCATCACAGATGATAGATTGAGTGTTTTAATTTTATGGAGAGACAGTTCAAGCAAGCTCTTTCATGTATCCTGGTGTAGGATAAATGAAATATGTTTGTATCGTACTGTGGAGACTGAAAATATGCATAGATGCGTACAGTTGTTACTTAATATTTATCAAACAGCTTAATACACTGCTTACCATGTTAAAATGTGTCTTAAACTTCAAAAATGCTAAAATGCATCCTAATACATTCAAACACATGTAATTATTTTTAATCAACATTCATCGTGGCTAAGAAGATGATGGTCTTGCTTGCAACAGTTTTTATGCTCTGCGTCAGTCTATTTTTTTACATTTCCTCTTCCTCTGCCTTCCATCTTCCAATGGCTTCCTCTCTTGTGACTTTCCAAGTAGGAATGGGTTGCTTATAGACTTTCTGACCTCTGGTCTGCAAGTGTTAATTCTTCCTCCTGAATGCAAAGAAGGGGACCCTATTAACAGACAAGTGATTGGTCCTCTTGGCATCCTCACTGTCCAGTTGTCGATAAAATCCTTTCAATCAGTACGTTGGCAAATGAGCCATGTTAAAGGATCCTCCTCTATAGTAGAGACTGCAGGAGACAGCTCTGCTCTTGCTAAGTGCAGTTTTTCCAAAATCCTGATGGGTTCTCATTAGGAGGATTGATGAAGAACAAACAGGATACTGAAATAAAGCTGTACCCTCCTGTCTTTGCGAGGGTTTCTGATCTGGTACAGGCTGCACTTCTATACTACAGTAAGCCACCCTGTGACTAAGCTACACTGTGTGGGGTGTTCTTGGAACAGCCCATGATGCACACACAGATTGGGCTCACTGTGGCTTGTTCTCCCTCTCCTTTCACCTTGGTCCTCCAACTGGCATCCCAGTGTCCTTCATGACAAAGCCCTTCTTGTCTTCCCTTTATTGCTCTGCTCATTACCCTTTCTAGCTTGCTGTTTTTTAATCTTTTCTTTTGGAGATTCAAAACTGTGCAGCTTGGGCCATGCTTAAATAGTTTTTGCCCTGAAAGTTGCTCGACTGTATTTGTAATTTTTTTTCTTCTTACTGATCTTTCATAAGATGGTGGTCTTACATGATCTGATATGCGTAGTCTTACTTGATGACTTTCCTTGTCTGTTTCAGTTGTCAAAAGCAATAATTAAAAAATATTATGAACACATTTTAACATATTTCTGGGGCCAAAGTAACATTTTTAAAAGGTGGCAAACTGGTTATGGTTGTTTCAGAGCGCCACTTGGGCATCAGTGGAGGGACTGTCACTAGTGGCGGCAAGTATGAGATTGCGAAGAGGAGCAGGGGGGTTTGCTAGTCCATCTCCTGACTCACAGTGAAGTTGCTTTCCTGAGTTTGGATGACATGAGAACGCTTTGAGGGTCAAGTGATGCCTGGAACAAGCCATGGGTTGTCAGAGCGTCTAGTTGCTGTAAATATATCTCCCTTTGGAAAGTGGTATGTGTTTGGATGATACCACAACCACAGTGGCTAGTTGTTAATTTATGTGAACCCAGTTGCTGTGCTTCTCTAAAGCTTATCTCTTCAAGGAGAACCAGAAACAGCAACCTAACTAGTTTGTTGTTGATTCTTTCTGCCAAAGTTCCTTGGAAACTTGAGTGTGCTGTGGTAAGGCATGTATTTCCCACCATTCCTAGGCAGGGCTAATGTTGCCGAATGAGCTCTTTGTCAAAATGCAGTTTTGGAATATATGAATTATCTGGTGACTTCTCAGTTTGTTTTAGGACAAATTTAACAGCTCAGTTTCAAGACTGGCTGGGAGAGCCTCCTGTGCTGCTCCATATTGGAAAGGCATGGTGCGGGGAGGGGTGGTTTGCTGGGACCTTTCAATTCCACCAGCCATTTCACTGGGCTCTGGATCAAGGGAGTAAATGTGACAGGATTAAGAGAGATACTTGCACTATAAAAATAAATATGTAAATAAGGGAAGTTTGGGAGGGAGGCCAAATACCGCTTTCTGTGTAGGTCATCATAGAAGAGGGCTACTAATTGGCCTTGCTGTTCAAGATACCCTATGAAACTGGGGCAGGTGAGCCTTTTGAGCTATTACCTGCAAGGCTGCTAAAGATGAACAGTGTTACTACCAAACAGCCCTTCATCAGGGCAATGGCATTTTCAGGACTGTGTTTGGGGTTTAAAAATTGCACAGTAAACTTCTGTTAGGGAAATGAAGAAATGAATTTCATTGGTGTGCATAGATGTATACCAAACAATTTTTCTGTGGTGGTAGTATTAGCCATGATCAGAAAAAACCTCCATGTTCAAAGGCAGTGTACCACTGAATACTAAATGCAGGGCCTGAACCATGTGCCTTCAGCATTATCTTGTAAACTTTACAGAAGCATTTGCTAGAGGCAGAATACTGGACCAGATGGAATTTTTAAGCCAGTCCACAGGTCCCTGGATTATTTGGTGGCTTTCTATGCCTTTATCCTTCTAAATAAACTCAATAAATAATTAAATATAATGAATAGGCCTTGGCAATTATAGGCAGCCTATAAATATATGTAGAATAAATAAGCAAGCAAGCATATATACTTACCAATGCATTCTAAATTGTCCTGGAAAAGCCCTCTGGGTTAATTTACAGTTGGTATGACAGTGAAATGTGTAACCTATGGCTTATTGAACTATTTGTAAAGAAACCTTGGAAGTCTTCAATGTTGCAACTTTTCATTTCTTGATTAAGAGGGGTGGTGTTTGTTTTTTTGGGGAAGGGGTGTTTTGGGAGGGTACTTTAATCTTAGCCAGCTACTATGTTCTGTTAAAATCATGTAACATTTACTTCCTTCTCACTAATCTCTTTCCATAAAGTGGTTTAATTTGTTCTCTGATGAAAGGGGAGGAGAAGGCTAACCTGACACAGAACTCCCAAAGAGCTTTTGCCACCAGTCAGGGAATGCTAGGACACTTTGACTTTAGTAGAAGTCAGAGTTATTATCAAATTAGCTGCTAATTTTGTCTGTTAACTGGGAAGTACGTTTCCATCATTGGCACAGCTCCTGCCATGTGCTGTTCTTTGTCATGCTAAAGTTGACGAGCTACTTTGCTCAACTTTTTGTGCTTTATGCTGGGTCAAACAAATTACCTCTCTTGGGTACCCTTGATTTGGTTTGCTGCTATTACAGTATGCATTCCAGACTTGGAGTGAATTCTAGCAAGAAATGTTCCTTTTGGTGTAGGGAAGAGCCTGGGCTAATGTTAAATCCACAAGCTTCTACATAATCCCCTCTGGCTGAGCTGCCTTGTGCATTTTGCTCTTTGCTTTCAAGGTGATAAGTAATTATCCTTTGTTCATTTGCTGATTTCAAAGGAGTCAGCTTTAGAAAGCAAGGTTCCCAAACAATGGCATTGAATCCAGCAACAGATAGATCTATGCTTCCCTCACCAACAGAAGGCTATTTCCCAGGAAAAGCCCCTGGAGATTCAATATCTACATGGTCAGTACAGCTGCAAGGATTTCCCTCCCAGTAGGTATATTCTGCTGTGTGTCTTCTGCTCTGAGACAGCATTTTATAGAGGCAGTAAAGTGGGATCTGAAGGTTGTTCTAAAAGCTAGCAAGATACAAGAAGTTCTTGGAAAGAACTCTGTGTGAGATGCTCAGGATATGTCATCCAGGGTTTGCATTGGAATATGTGTTGGCAAACATGTGTCTGATGTGAAATATATGTAATAAGAAGAGAAACTGTGTGCCTGTGGAGTAGGGGAAGAGATTGTCTGCCATTTCACATCCTTAAAATTGTGACCCAACAGTTTTTATAAAGCAAGTGAAAATAATTTGCATGAAGTGTCATTAAATTATGGAACTCATTGCTGGAGAAACTGCAAAAGCTGGCAGCATAAATAGTTTAAATATATATTGAAGATAGGTCTACAAGGGCTTTCCTCATTCTGGTTGCCTCCAGATCTGAGGGACTATAATACCATTATCCCTGACCTGCAGGTCATTGAGCATGGTGGCTGAGGTTGATGAAATCTGTTGTAGTCCATCATGTTTAGAATGTTGGGCTGGGAAAAGCCAGCTGTAGGGGGCTATTAGTCATTGTAGCCAAAAGCACAAATAGAACAAAGTTGTGTCTCTGCTTGCAATATCTGTTCCTTGTCAAGCATAACCTCCTAGTGGATAGTATCAAGGGATACTCCTTCTTGTGAATATTCCTGGAGGTGGGGAGATAACTATATTGTACCTTGATATCTCTATATTTGAACCTACTGAGTTTTTAAAAATTTTGATAAATAACTTCAGTTGCCCTTCTTTGAAACAAGTTATAATGGGTTTACTTATTACTTGTGGAAATGTGGTAATGAATGTGAAGGAACAGCAGTTCAAATACAAGTAAGCCTTTGGAGGTCCTTCGTCTTCTCATTGATCTAATGAAACTGGCTCAAACTTCTCATCCTTAGTTAAAAACATTCTTAGTTCACCTCTTAATTTTCCTTGGAAAGAACTTTATGAAATGAAATAGTTCCATGAATATAGGGTATTAAACTGTTAGAGAAGGTTGCTGGAAACCAGTCCATAGAGGACAGAGCTGGGACTTATGGAATGACACTAGTAGAACTGCTGGAATACAGAGCAACTTTTAGTCTGAGGGCTGAATTCCATTTCAGGGAAGCTCTTGGGGGATACATTTCCATGGCTGGCAGGGCCAAAAGGCAGACCCAAAAAGCAAAAATGCCAACATTATGTAGTTTAAAGCTTTATTGCTCATAACTAAGCCTTAGGAAAGGCATTTCAGTCTTTAAGAATATGGCAAAAAACTGCACAACAGCCAGGGAACTAAAAGGTTGGAGTTGGGGCAGAGTGGGTGAGGGTGGGAAATGACCTTTAGCAAAACCAAATGGTACTTTAGGAAATGTAAAATCC